AAGCAGATTACGTGACCAGGAAGATAGAAAGCAATTATATCTCAGATTTTCAAATGATATGAAATGTGATTGAAGATCTAACAATCTAGACATAGGAGTAGAAAATTCGTGTATCCAAGGGGTTGATGAACACAAGGTGCTCTTCTGGATGTCCCAGGAGGTCTCTGACTACCTGGCTGCCTTCCTCTTCCCTTCTCCTGTAGTTTAGTTCAAGAGCCACGGAAGCTGCCATCTGCTCCAGAGCAGGGCTGGGAACCTCGTGGCCCTGGGCAAGAAGGGCATCTTTAGGGGCCACCAGGGTTGAGGGTTGGATGTCAGCAGGCAAGGGGGGCGTGTGCAGGGCAGCAGAGATGCAAGCAAGCCCGAGAGACAGATCAGAGACAGGAAGGCTGACCAAACAAGTGAGGAGCTAAAGGACGTGGGAGTCAGGTTGGTCACTGGAGAAGAAATATATAAATACAGAAAGGCAGGAAGTGAGAAGGAGCCCCATGCACGGTTCTCTGAGATGGTTCAGCTGCGGTGACACCTGCACACTGCTTAGCGATTTCTGTTCGGGGCCGACGGGATGCACCAAGGGGACGCAGGCAGATGCCCGGGGCCCCTGTAGCCAAGGCTGGGGCAGGCTGAGCGCCACGTGAGCACTGTTAGTGCCGGGTCACAGCCCACCAAAGAAAACAGAACCCTGGGCCATACTGGAAACATAACTCTTCACTACAGACTGCGATGTTTACATCGTTTCCACAGTATTTCCCCACAAAATACTGGTCAGAGGAGGAAAGTGGTTTTGCAAAGGGGATTCCTGCCAGGCAGCTATCTCCTCATCCTGCGCCCTAAGAGCGCTGCATCAAGTTGTGACAAGTCAAAACTACGGCCATTCTGTCAATCCTATCCAAATGTACACGAACAGAATCTCATGAGGAAACATTAGATAAACTCAAATTGAGGAAAAATCTATAAAATAACTGGTCTGTGTCTTTCAAAGTATCAAGGCCTTGTACAAGTCACAGGGAGACTGAGCAACTGTTCCAGAAAGAAAGGCATTAGAAGGGGAAACTAAATGTAACGTGTAGTTCTGAACTGGATTTGAAAGGGCTGCAATGTGATAATTTTTAAAATAATTGTACTTGTATGATGCTGGGGATGCTACACACATGCTTGACTACTGAGCTATATCTGTAGCCTGGAAGTGTCCGTTTAGAAAGTGGATGCTACTGGGACAACTGGAAAAACTTCCGCGGTGTCTGAGGATCTGAGAGTAGTAGCATAAAAATTAATTCTCTGATTTCCTGTGATGTTGACAACTGCTGAGGTGATGTTAGAATGTGCTCGCTGGTAGAAATTACCCACAACGGCACGTGGGGGTGACAGGTGTCCTGTCAATAACGTGCTTTGAAATGGCTCAGGAAAAGGAGCTTTTGTTGGGGCTTCCAACTTTTCTGTAATAAAAGAAAAAGAAAAGTAGTATCAGATGCTTAGAGGACTACAATGTTACATGAAGAATGTTTGGTTTTATTCCATGTATGTCTGCTGCCGGCGTTGTGTGCCGAGGGCTCTGGTCACTGCTGAAGGCCCGGCATTCATGCTCGGTCTGGAACCAAACCCTCTGCTCCTTGCTTTCTCTCTTTAGATTTTGAGACTTATTGGTAAGTTTAATATAGAGTGGATAAATCTTGACGTTTGATGTAGCCAGTATTTCTACAAGACCATTAGGGTCTCTGAATTACAACTACTTGTTAACTGTCTATTATTCCTGATGATTCAAGACTCAGGGACATGGGATAGTTCAAATTTAAAGTAGACTGTGAAATATTTTAGCACGTAAGCACAGGCTAAGTATGTGCAAGGATTATTCTTTTCTAACTAATAGAGTTATTTTTATAATACGTTATTTTACAGGAGAGATAACACTTGTGTAAAATGGTTCCCCTCTGCACCATTAATCAAGCTAATATAAACTATGAGCATACCTGATCCATCAGCCAGCCATTCTAACCTTCCAGCATCAGCTTTCTTGAAAAGCTTTCTTTCAACTTTCTTGAAATTACTGCCAGCTATTAAACTGTACTTATAAATAATACTCGGAAAAACCAGACGGTAGAGCGGCATTTCTATAGACCTGCCCTTCCTGGGGGAGAACAGGGAGGCCACAGAAACAGGTGGGGTCAAAGGGAATGGAGGAAAGGTGGATAATCCTCCAGGTCTCTTGGTCCTAATTTCCTCCCTCCGTCTTAGTTACTTTTTCATTGCTGGGACAAAACACCCCCACCCACAATTTAAAGGAGAAGGTTTATTTTTGTTCGCAGTGTGTAGAGGTCTTAGGCTACAGTGGGCTGGCTCCAACTCAGAGAGGCCTGGAGGAGAAACAGTCCATGGCAGGGCAGGCAGGAAGCAGACACACACCATCACAGCGGGGACATGCACCCCTCTTTGCACAGTTCTTCCCCTCTTTACTCCGTTCAGACTACAAGCCTATTGGTTGGTGCCACGTACACCAAGGGGGGCGGGACTTCTGTCTTCATAAATCTACTCAGTCATAGCCAGAAGTTTGCTAATCCAATCAGCGGGCTGATCATTATCACATACCCGTAATCCATATTCTCACAGCCTAGATCCAGCAACCACCAGAAGCCCCACCTATGAGCACATGAGGCGCTGGGACATCTAGACATAACCTAGCACCCTCCCTCCCTATTCCTATCCTTGAAATGAGTGGAGTGTCGAGAACGTGTCTGGTAGGGTGATAGCTCTGCGAATCCAGTGATGAATAGGATATGTTCTGGACCTTTTAAGGAACCCTAAGTTTGGAGGGGGAGAAATGGCTGAGTTAGAAACCTAAATTTATTCTAAGTTTCCACAAAATAAGTCAAATATATAGTGCCACAGAAAGAGAGAAGTCACTGCCTCATAGAAATACAGTCCTCAGAGAAAAGATGTTTGTGTGTGTGTGTGTGTGTGCGTGTGTGTTTTTTGCTGGCATGGAACCCAGGGCCTCACGCATGCCTGGCAAGCACTCTCCCACTGAGCTGCACTCCCAGCCCAAAGGTGGTGGTTAAAGGCCCACTGGGGTTGTGTTTGCTAGAAAGGGGGAGCAAGGGAACCGCAGGCTGAAGGAAGGAAATGTTGGAGAAATCAGTGGAAGCTCTGACATCGTAGCTTCTTCTGGCCTCATAAAGGGGAAGGCTGGGGGTGCCACGAAGGTCCGTGTGTGTGTGAGGGTAGGGATGGACTGAGGACAGCAATCTTGAAGGGCCCGGCGCGGTCAGATCCCTGCACAGAAGGCCCACGGCCGCTGTCACTGTCCCCGCTGGCTGCACTGGGCATGTGCCTGGGCTCCAGGCTGTGACTGTGGAGGAGACGGGCGCAGCGCTCCCTTGCTCTCTGCTCACACAGGCCCTCCTCTCCCACCACCCCGCCTGTGTGCCAGGCTTGCTTCTCCGCTGCCCTCCCTGCACTTCCCGCACCTATGCGTTGTGCGTGTCTGTCAGCGGTCCTCCCTGCTGGCAGTGAGCTCTGCCTCGGGAGTTTTGCCTCCCGTGGGCCTCGTGCCATGCCTGGCATGTGGTCAACGCCCGTGTGTCCTTGAAGAGTGAAGAGCCAGCGCTGCCGCAGACCTGGGGCTCAGCACTTGGTGCTGGCGCTTGGATCTAGCGTGTGCCTGCAGGCTCAGGGGTGGAGGTTTGGTCCCTGGCTGCGGTCCATATCACAGGCCCCGGGCCATCCTCTTGTGCTCTTTCACATCCCACCAAGAGGAGCCGCTTCCTCTGCCACGCACGGGCCCGAAGCCGCGGGTTAACCTATCATGGACAGGAATAAATACTTTCCCATTCAGCGGATTATCTCAGGTACAGCACTACCTTAGTTCACGAGCCCAATTCCTCCATGATTCTGGTCTCAAACTGAATGTAATTTCCCCACAAGGTGAACACTGAACATAGCCATTGAACGTGACTTGTTTCTGGTAGAGTTTGGTTTGTGACCAGAATCATGGAAATACTAAGTTCACAAACTGAGGCGCTGCTGTTTTGTTACAGTAACAAAAAGCCGACACTTGGGAAACCTTAACACTGAGACTCTAGAGAGAAACTTTTAGTCACTAAGACACTCTGGAAGCCTGGTTGACAGGTAAGAAGTCCCTAGAGGTGCTCGAGCTTCCAAAGGAGATGGGCAACTTAGCAGCTTAGCAAGAGCCTGTCAAAAAATAAATAAAAAGGGTTGGGGAGTGTCTCAGTTACTTTCTAGCTGCTGAGACACAACACCAGACACCCCCAACTATAAGGAGGAAAGGTTTACTTCAGCTCACGGTGGCAGAGGTGTCAGTCCATGGTCTGCTGGCTCCAAGGAAGGGCAGGACGGCACAGGGACATCGTAGAGGAGAAAGAGCGCAGGGCATTGTAGAGGAGATAGAGCTCAGGGCAGCGCACTGGGAAGCAGAGAGAGATCAAGGGAGGAGGAGGGAGACAGACCCTTCCAGGCCACGCCTCCAGTGAACACTCCTCCAACCAGGCCCCACTTCCTAAATCACATTCAGCTATAAAGAATCACTGGACGAGCCCGCTGATGAGCACCACACCCCCAGGATCCCACCACCTCCCAAAGCCCCACCTACGACTGCACGAGGCTTGGGAGTCAGTCTAGACAGAAGCCATGACACGGAAATGGCTCAGTGCTAAAGTCTTGGGTTCAATTCCTAGACAGGACAAAAAAGAACATGCGGGGCAGCATGGCACAGGAGTGCATTCGCAGAGCACGCTCCTCCCGGGTGAGTGTCTGTTGTGGTGCAGTGTCCCTCCATCTCCAGGGGCCAGGGGCCCAGTGGTGCAGAATGTTCACAACCTGCTCAGGTGCTGGCTGATGGGTCAGCTCTTCGGTTCTCCCAAGCCACCCAGCTAGAAATCCCCGCAAATCACACGAAAACAGACACATTTTAACCATCTGAAAATCAGCGACCTTGTTTCTCGGCCTTTTCCATTTAAGAATCAGCTAAACTGCTCCTGTTTCAGGCAGCCGAACCCTTCCGTCCTGGACCAGCAAGGCAGATACAGCCGCGCCTTCCTTGCCTGGCATGTGGGTGACTATGAGGACACCCACCAGAGAAACTCCGAAGGGGCGACTCTCGTTAGGCAGAGCAAATCCTCACCAAGACAGTCCCAGCCACCGAGGCTGCCAGCATTACCAATAAACAACAAGGTAAGAGCTGTTGCCGTTCTGAACCAACACAGAAAGTCAGGGTGAGCGAGTTCATACACAGGAGCCAGCGAATCTGTAGTAGTCATAGTCATGATCAGCTTTAGAGCTCCTCCTAACCTGTCAACCCAACTGTAATCCACACTGGATTTCCACAATAACGTCTGTTCAGGGGGTAGGTGAGTATTATTCTCATTTCACCGCAAAGGAAAGCACGTGGTCCGGCCCTTAGTATTCCTGTTTAGTCATCACAGGGTCTAACCTGGGGAGAACAGCTACCCCGTCATTTCAAAAAGCTTGGAAAACAGCCTGTAAAATGGAAGTCTGTAGCTCCCCGCTGAAACCCTCTCACACCAATTAGCACTGTAAGAAAAACCAGTTCTAGTTTTCCCCCTGTACTGTCTATGAAATTAAATATTGGCCAAACGGCATGATTTCCTTTAAATGCTTTTTTTCTGTGAGATAGGATAACGGTTAGGGTACCTAAATTTTTGCAGTTACCAGAGAACCAAAGAACATGCAAGTGCATATTCAACAATGATCCCCTGAGGTTTGTGTACAAACCTCTCCCCCGTGCAGCTTTCTGCACAGCCCTGACCCCGAAGCACAATGCACTGTGGGGGCATCCAGTGTCTGCTACTGAGGGTGACAGCAAGTCTCCGCATCAGAAGAGGAAATAGAACAGCCCAATGCGTCCAGAGACTCCTGCTCCCTACCAAAGAGCCGTCTTGCTCCACTGAAGAACTGGGCCAGCTCGCTAGACCACGCCCGTCGTCTGTTGCCCGGACCCGCCTCAGCAGCAGCGAGCTGGGTCTGTCGGAAGCACTCTGTGAGAAAGCCCTGTGGCCTCCTTGGCCGGTCCCGGCCCCACCTCACTTTGTAGGAAAGGGGAGCCTGAACCCTAACGTTCCTGTGGTCTGCACACTGGGACAGTCCTGCCGGGACAATTCACGGCAGCGTGTGCAGGTCAGCGTGGATGAGTTACTGTCTACCGAGGAGCTCATTCTGGGCAGGATAGAGCTCAAACGACCTCAAACGTCTCTTTCTGTCATCTACTAAGTCCAAATGACAGCTATTATTTTTGCATTAAAAAAATCTCTTTAAAAGATATACGCAGAGAGGACATTGCAAGAACACCTCATAATCTCTGCCCAGGCCCGTTAGTTATTAATCTTATGTGCTTTAATATTCTCCCTCCATGGATAGGTAAAACTTGAGCACAGACCACACCTCATGCTAACGTACTGCGTATCATTTTAGGGCCTATTTCCTAAATCGCAGTAGTGGCTGGACCCAGGGAGTCCTGAGGTCCATCCCCAGCTCCCCCTCCTGTTTTCATTTTTCATTTTGCTAAGTTGCCCAGGCTGGCTTCAAACTTGTAGCCCTCCTCCTCAGCCCACCAGAGCCCTAGCACCGTGGGCGTGCGCCACCGTAGCTGGCTAGCACTGCAACTTTAAAATTCGGCGAATTCACCGTGGGTACATCCTTGTTATCTGAAGTTTGTGATTAGGTTCCATTAACTGACTGTCGTTTTCCTGACCCAGCACTCCTGCTGGGACCCCAGAGGGGTTCCCTTTCATGACCCCCGCTTTGGAAGGCCACACTGGCCCTGCGACCCCTCTCAGCACGGGGCTGCTGCTCCCTGCGACAGGGCTCAAGCTGTTCATTCTGGGAAGGGCTCCCGACGTGGGTGTGGGCTCGCGGAGCGTCACATCGGGGGCCGGAAGTGGCTCTCACCCATCACTGGTGCACGGCCACTCACCCGGTCACGCACCTTGGCTTCCCACATACATTAGAAACTCGTGGGCTGGGGATTTAGCTCAGCAGCAAAGCGCCTGCCTGGCAAGCACAAGGTTGTGAGTTCGGTTCCCGGTACCGGAGAAAAACCAAAAAAAAAAGACAAAAAAAAAAAGAAACTCGTTTCTCCACCTCGTGTTTTGGACCATTCCCGCAGGCTGCGTGGACAACGCGCTCGGCTTCTCATGTAAGTCCCGTGTCGGGAAGATGTGCAGCGTGTGGGCTTACACAGTCAAAAGCGAATGAGGCGCTCACGGTGAAAAGCCCAACACAGGGACCAGCGCCCGGCCACCTCGCAGAGGCCACCCCACCTCCGCTCACCCGAGGCGCACATGTAACAGCACGCACAGCCCTTGTACACATTTACCTAAAATGCTCTTAGAAATACTTCTGGAACTCAAGCAGGCAAATCTCTACACTGTCCACTTGGCCAAACCTCTCTCAAGTCACAGAGGTCTCTTCGAGCTGCCTTGTGTTCCACTGCTGTTTTCCTTCCTGACTTTGGTTTTTCTCCACGTCACAGCGCTGTAAATGCTGTGGAGCTGCTGCGGGACACCTTCAGCGCCGCCCACTTCCCTTCATCTCGGAGCTGCTCTCCCTGCGGCGTTCTTCCCTTCCCCTGCCCACCCCTCCCTTTGACCTCAAGAGGTGAGGTCTTCTCCAATGTCACCATGCACTTGGATCATACAGGACCTCCAGGAAGGGTATGTGGCTCAGCATGGCTGGGTAATGTGTGAAGAGCATTAGGTGTGCTGTGCACACCTGTAGGCCCCTCTCCCTGGGAGGCTGAGGCGGGAGGCTTGCTTCAGCTCGCGAGCATAGAGTCAGCCTGGGCAATCTGAGAAGATCTGGCTGGAGAACAGGAAGCAGCTGGATCATCCCAGTACACAACACTGAGGCATCTGGATTTTACTGGACTGACACCCTGACGGAGACCACTATGAAGCAGACCTGAGCAGGACTTAAATGAATCAATTGGCTTTTTATGTTCACTTGTGAATATGTCCAACGCCTAGGCCGCTTGTCTGGAAATGGATGATAGACTCATAGTAAGTGAACCTCTGTGAGTCACTAATCTCTACTGAGGCCTGTCACAGCAGATGAAGCTACAAAGCCTCAAAGGATGAGACAAGATCACAGCCAAGGCCACCTGGATCCTCTCTCAACTAGATAAAGACTATAGCCTCAGGCAGCTCACTCCTATGTGGATTAATTTCCTACCTTACTTGGAGAAGTCCTTGAGTGGTTCTGCCCTTCTTGAGTACTCCCTTCCCTTCTTCTGATAACCAAATAAACATGGGCCACCCAGAGGTGGTTTTAGCCTTGGCCCTGAGAGAATCTTGAGTTCTGTGAGAGGGCTTTGATCCTCCTGGAGCCCTCAAATCAATCTACCTGCCTCTTTTTATTTAGCCTTCACCGTACACTTGTTCAGGAGATTGCGGACCTGACCAGCCTGCAATAACTGAGGGATATTATTAATCCAATAACACAAAGAGACAGGACCCAGTTTTCATTTTACAAAGATATAGACACCCGCCTGAAAGAGGACTGGTTAGACCGTTTCATACGAGAGGGAGGTGAGTTCAACAGCATGTCCGTCACTCGTTTAAAAGCAGGGAGGGATTTACATCAGGCAGCGCAGCGGCAAGGGGAGGCATGAGCCACAGAGTGGGTGGGAGTCGGGGGAGGGGACGGGGAGCAGACCTAGGAGGGGTCAAGGGCAGGGAGCAGAGAGAGACTGCGCAAAGCAGCGGAGGCCAAGTGGACTCCAGAAAATCCCCAGCTGTCGAAGGAAGAAGAAACAGGATGGTGAGGTGGATTAATATGGGTGGATTTTTAAAGAAAAAAATTAGAGTAGAAAAAGTCAGTAATTAAGAACCTGAACACGAGAGAGACCTGAGTGTGTGAAGTCCTGCACACAGGAGGGTGTACAAATACCAGGATTAACCTGCAAGTGCACGGTGAATCTTCACAGGAAGAGATTTTTCTTCCGCTTTCAGTGGTTACCACCTCCCTTCTTATCACAAGTGGGTCATTTCTAAATTTCTTCTTGTTTTTGAGCTTTTCTTTGCAGCACACATTCAGAGACTGACATGTACTTCGGGCCCTAAGGGACAGTTGTACTACTGATTATGTAAAGATCTTTGCTCAGACACCTACGCCTACAGCCTAGCATGGCAGTGGGTGTTCTGAGCCTAGCAAAGCCCAGTAGGAGTTATAAATATCACCAGACAGATCTCCTCAGTACATCAGTCAGGGAGCCCCAGACAAACAGAACCAGCGGTCCAACAGTGCTTTTGTGTACATCCGAATTCCTTCCTCTCGGGGGACTCTCTCTCTCTCCTCTGAGTCCTTCAACTGGCTGGACAAGGCCTACCGTATTAGAGAAAGTAACCACGTTCCTCAAAGTCTACCGACTTAAGTACCGATCTCACCCAAAAGTACCTCATGGCACATCCAGGCTGTGGAATGGAGCCCTGTGGCCTTGTTGAGTGACAGACCTCAGCATCACCTGGTGCGAGACAGCATGGAGGGGCAAAGCACCACACACAGCGCGCGTGGACACTCAAGTCCTGTGTGGGCGGCACGATGTCCAAACACCGAGGTCACCTCATGGTGTTCAGGTCAATGTCACTCGCACGGCACCGTGCTGGGGTGAGTTACGCTTAATGGCAGTTTCTCTGAGACCACGTATAGCAATGAAGTCATCCCTTTTCATAGCTAATGTTCTGCAGAGCCCCATTTACTGTACGTCATAAATGGCATAACTCACGTCAGAACTTACCACAAGCAGTACAATCCCATATGTACTACTTCAACGTAACACGTAGCAATACATATTTCAGCACGTAAACTTGGAGCAGCAGATTAGAAAACACAGCAGCATGGGCACCGCTTACATCCAGGCATAGACTCTCCATGGACCCAACAGCTCCACATGCAGAGAGACACGCGTGTTGTTTGGGGAATCAAGTTCTACAAGTTACTGCAGCTGTTCGGAATGCAGTTTTCAAAAAGGTACATCAATTCTTGGTAAAGACCAAGTAACCAATTCCTGTTACAATCCTTACAAAGTGAAATCTTCCTTCAGTGGTTATAGGAAGGGTTGGATTCCTGAAAAATTCACATACTAAAAGCATGTAACACATTGTGCTTTTATGTATAGAACTCAATTCTCAGCTTATTCAATTAAAAATAGGTTTTGCACCCATATGCATGTCCATCCGGGCATCTAAGTCCCACGGGGCTGGCCTGGGCTCCACATGTTGCAGGACATTTCCCATCACCCCAGCACCCCCCACACACCAGGCCACTGGCCCTCAAATGCACACACCGAGCAAAGGTGTCCCCACATTTCCGAAACACCCCGCTGAAAGCCACCAGGATGCGTAACAACCTTGTCTCTCCAGGACTACTGTCAAGGGAGACTCTGCATTTGATTAACTGTAACAAACAGATCATATGCAGCACCAGAAAAGGTTCAAGATAAATTCCAAAGGTTTATTGCACCAAATGCCACAGAAAATGGGTCAAAATAATACATGAACAAGTTTTAAGAAAAATTTCCCACACATTGACATTGGTATCGCTTCAACTGATCAAAAATAAAGTCCCTACCAATTTCTCTTAATGAAGCTTTAATATAGTAACATATCCCAGAATTTTCTGTTTTTACCCACCACTTAAATTTAAGCATATTGTACTCTCACTTCCCAAATGGATGGTTCACCAAAGTGACATTTAAAAATTAACATTTAGAGTGGGCTGCTTTATTTAGGCAAAATTATATTAAAATATCCTCTCCCCAAGCACAGTAAAAGGTTTGCATTAAGTAAGAGAAGCTCAAGACTTGTCCAATTTAATGGCTAAAGGACGCATCAACAAAATGCTCCCCACACTACATTACTAGTGGAAAAAACCAGACATTTAAAAGAATTTGGTGTCACTTTATATTCTTTATGTACAACCAACTTTAGTGAGAATCAAGAAAGCTACAGACTATATCTTTATAAAATCTGAGGACCTAATTATAAGAGCCGAAACAACAGTTTAGTATCATTTAGCAAATGGGGAATTTCCTCCCTCCAAAAATGTTAGCTCTGAAAAATATGGTTAAGTTTAAAAAGTTGCAATGTGTAAACAGCAGTTCCATGGGATGTGAAAAGATTATAGTTAATTTTCATTAAAAAACAGCACATTTCAGAAAAATGGATTGAAGCCTGTACAAAAGCTATTTAACACTGATAAAAATAAAATACTTTGGAATTATGCACAAGTATGGAAGCTACATTTTAAATTTTCATTGTCATGTTTAAAATGCACACAATCACCTTTACATTCATATCACGTATCAATTTGTTAAAAATAAAACTGCAACATGCTAGGAAGAGGCCATCGCGGTAACAAAGACCACTTCTGCCCCGCCACGCCTCGCCAGCTCGCGGAAACGCGCAAGCTGCGACGAAGACACAACAGCTAAGACTCGGAAGTCCAAGAAACCCTAAAGGTCCAATCCTGTCACCTGAGGTAGATTTAATTTTTTGATTTTTATTTTTTCTTGGGGTGGGCGTGGGAGAGGGTGGGGTCCCTTTCTGGCCTCAGCCCGGGCAGATGGAGCCGCAGGGAGTTCGGGGAGCCAGGGGTTCTCTCACTCACTGTGGGGAAGAGGTTGAATTTAAAACAGAACGTGTGAATGGCAGGTGTTCAGGGGCGGGTCAGGGGAAGCAACCTTCTTGGCCTGTGCTGGGGGCAACGGACGTGAGGATCGGGCGCCGACTGGAATCCGAGTGACCCACACCCCGGGAATGCGTGGGCCTCCTCCAGGGAGGGAGCTGGCCGGTCCAGGACCAGAAGGCAAGGCTTGCCAGGGCAGGGCGGGCTCAGAATCCGCCACGGACAGCTCAGCCTCCCTGGCGGGCTAGTGTTCCGCAGGCCCCCAGGGACCCCGCAGAGCGAACTGACCCGCCGGGTGAGGGAGGCGCAGGCGGAGCGGTGGGCAGCGGCCCGACCGTTCGCTCACACGAAGGAAAAGCGAGTGCGGGCTGAGGGCAGCCCCGGGGAGGGGCGTGTTCTCCTCCTGAGGTGTAACAGCAAATACGAAAAAGGGACATTTTGACTTTGTGAAAGGAATCATGTAAGCCAAAGTCTCACAGCCTTCAAGCGCCCCTCCTTTCCCTTTAAAGCACAGGCAGGGGGGTCAGCTCAGACCAGCCCCAGGAGGGCTGCGCCCGGCTCCGAGGTACGGCCCGGGCTCTGCAGCCAGCCAGCTGGTGTCTGCAGGAGCACAGAGACACGTTCATGTCCCGACAGCTAGGGTCAGTTTTATCAAGGCTCAGGCCTGAGATCTCCCCGGCTCCCTGGAAGAGGGCCCTCCCGTCCCCAGGACAAGGACGTGGGAAAGGAACGAGGTCCACGCCGCGCCGCTTCACCGGGTCAGCCCCCGCCTCTGCAAATCAGTTTGGAGTCCTTCTCCCTGGACACAAGGACCTGGTCTGTGTCACGGTCAGCAAACTAAGCTTCGCTTACAGTAACAGAGAACTGAGGGTTTTTCCTAAGTGAACTGCATAATAATTCTTCATTTTGGTTAGCCTTCTACAATGGTCAAGTGAATTTCTGGGAAGATGTTTGAAAAGGACATAGGGATTAAAAGGTGCACAAGTGATAATGTAACAATTCAGATCGGACATGGATTGTTCCGGAGTACTTACGCTCACTGCGTTCGTTACTCACCCGAACTGCCGCAGACAACTGCGCCTTTCAGGGAGATGCCGGCACCCGCGGCACCACAGGAGGGAGGGCTGGGCGGAGGAGTTCACCGGGCCTGGAGCACTCGGATGCACCTTGGGTAGCAGCCTCTCCCTAACGTGTGCACACAGACACACGTCTGCCTGTGCTCTGCGGCTGCTGCGGCCTACACCTGCCGGACGGGGCAGCCACACAGGCTCGTGGGTCTACACAAGAGGTAAACTCTGAGGGTCCCTGAGTGCCTCCCACCCCAACAGGAAGTCCCCTTCCCCTCAGGGCCGGCAGCAGCTGCTGCAGTCACAGACCGATGACCGCTGCGTGGCTTTCCTCACCCTGCCCCTGTGGACCAGGAGCCCAAGTCACGTCGGCTGGCTCCTTAGCACCGCACACTGCTCCCCGCAGCCTGCCGCGCGCACGCTTGGATTCGGAGACTCCTGTCCCAGGAATGCCGCGACGTGTCCACCCCCGCCCCACTCCCCCCCCGCCGCCCGAGCAGCCCGCAGCCAGTGCCCACAGCTTGGCGTGCAGTGCAGCGCTGTGCTCCCTCCCAGCAGGTCTGCTCTGCTGATTCACGGTAACAGAAGGCAGAAAGGGTTCCTGAAAGTCACAAATGCCATTGTCGGTAAACCTAAGTCTTCCAATAGAGCAACAGTGCAAGACCAACGGTGGGACGACTGCTTCCACTCGCTCTTCTCACGCTCCGGGCGTCCCAGAGAGCTTACTCCTTTCTCCTTCAGCTGAGAATGTGTTTTTCTTCTTCCACGGAAGAACTGTCCTGAGCTTTAGCTTATAGGAGTATCTGCGCCACGTACGGAGAGTGCGTGCTGGCAATAGCAGTCAACAGAGGCAGGTCGTTAGACTCAATCCTGGGTATCAAAAACAAAACAACGTTGCTTTACAGTAGCCTGATTTTGTAGGAAAGTATTATTTCTAGGTACCAAGCTTGCTATATTGTTTTACACTCATAAAAAATTGAAATCCCAGTACTCAGGGAGGCTGCGGCAGAAGGATTACCATAAGTTTGAGGCCAGCCTGAGCTACAGAAGCAAGTATAAGGCTGGCCCGTACTATATAATGAGACCTTGTCTCAAAAAAAAAAGAAAGAAAAAAAAGCCTGGCAAGCCTGAGGTCATGAGTTTGATTCCCGGCATAAAAAAAAGAAAAAAGAAAAAAACACAACTCCAGGACTAGCTTGGTGGCAATGTGATTAAAGCACATGCAAGGCCCTGGGACTGATCTGTAGCACCATAAAAAACTGGGAGGCTGAGTCAGAAGGATCACAAACTCAAGCCAGCCTAGGCAATTTAGCACGTTCCTCTCTCAAAATAAAAAAGGGACTTGGGATACAGTTCAGTGCAAACGCCCTGGGTTCAATCCCAACTGCTGAAGAAAGGGAAAAAATAAAAATAAAAAAAAAACACCCAGTGAGAAGACAGGCAAGTATCTGCAGACCCCGGCAAAGGCTGAGGCGCGTGGCGCAGGTGTGGGCGGCTGCCGCTCTGCCGCGGGCCCGACTGCCCTCCATGTCTGCCAGGCGCTCCCTGCGACTGCAGCGACTCGTGCTGCGCGGCTCCCCGCCCTGCTCTCCCTCCACCAGCATTCCTGCAGCCATGCTGACTTCGCGCCCACGTCCAAACTAGTCTCGGAAGGCCAACAGCCGGCCGCAGGTTCCCGAGCCCCGAGGAGCTGTCCCAGCAGTTACAGAACTTAGCTCCTCACGCAGCACCCGAGCCCTGGGTTCTCAGCGCAGGGCGGCCGCGCTAAGAGACAGCTCAGAGGGACACCTTCAGCTGCCGCTCCTAAAAGCAGAGGCCGTGTCTGTCCAGCCGCTGTCCGACCGGGCGAGAATCGAAACCGCGCTGTCTCAGCCCTTGCAGTACACCCGTCCTGTTCTCTGAATCCCCAAAATTAAAACTTCAGGTGGAAGCTGCTACTACTTGGTGAGCTTTCCACTCCTCTTCTAGCAATGCTACGGACAGACCGAGTTCAGCACACACGTTCTCCAGGACGCACTTGCTGCTGCACCAGGATGCGCACCACTCCTCCCAAGGGACCCAAGACCTGGAGCTGCGCACCAGGGGCAGGCGGGGCCCAACGAGCCCTCTACGCATCGGGCATGGACACCTGCAGAGTGCCGGGACTGCAACGAGCACATCCAGCAAGGAGAAGCCTCCGGAGGCGGGGAGATGGGGCAGGTGAACGAAGACAAAAGTCAAGGGGGAGAATAACAAGACACCTTGCAAGTTAACTGCAAAACAAACGCCTCAAAAAGGGAAAATATTGCTTTAGGAGATGCTAAGAGCCAAATGAGTAAGCCAGCTGTACCCTGGGGGGGAGGGAGCCTGGTCTGACGGGACGCGAAGGGCTGACAGAGTAACTCAGCAGGCTGGCTGGAGAACTGGACAGTGGACGCGCTGGACATGGCATTTCCCAGCACAGGCGGCCACCCCCCGAAGGTGGGACTCGCGGGGAGCGTGCACCGTGCAGGCCCGGGCCTGTGGGCTGCTGTGGGGCCCGCAGAGCAGGGCCCGGGGGAGGCGCGCGACACCTCCTCCAGGAAGCAAGAGGTAAACACAAGCTGCCCAGGCCCGGGCGACAGATTGCGCCTTTGGCACCGCCCCGAGTGACTAGGCAGGGACAGGCAGCGTGGGATTAAATGTTCCCTCTCGAGGGTGACGTAGGCGGGGAGAAGCCCGACACGAGGGGCCACCAGCCCGGAGCTCCGCCCCGTGTCCAGGCGTGAGGCACCCGTGAAGCACGCAGGCCCGGCCGGCAGGGCGGCACGGCACGGCACTCACCCCAGCACGACGCCCAGCTCCTTCACGTGCACGCGCGCGTGTCCCCGGAGGTACTCGGACAGCATCTTACTCTTCAGGTACAGCTCCTGCAGCCTGTCCTCCAGATGCATGACGCACTGCGAAGCCAGCGACAGCACAGTGAGCGCCAGGCCTCAAGGACCCGCCCGCTGCAGGAGCTAAGCCCGCCTCTGCGCCCCCTGCGCACAGCGGCCGTCTCCCCGCCCCGCACAGCGCAGACCCTGCAAGCCGCCCCCAGCTCCACCACCACTGGGCGTAACAGGCTTCTGTCAACAGCTACCAGGGTTTTCATATAACGTCGTTCTCCTGTTTAGAAAAAGGTATTTCTGCATAGCTGAAATCATTCTATAAATACAAAACTACTGGGCCAGGGATGTGGATGTAGCTCAGTGGCACAGCGCCTGCCTGGCACATGTGAGGCCTTGAGTTCCATTCCCAGTACCAAAAAGGAAAAAAAAAATTATTAAATACAAAGCTTCCCTGATTAAAAGAACTTTCGAATAATATTTTCCCTGTTAATGTCTTTATTGATGTAATTCTCATAGCTAAGTCTTGAGAATGTGGATTTACCACTATTTACTTAGTCACACAGCTATTTGCATTTTTGTTACAAGTAATTTTTTTGTTGTTGTTGTTGCTATTGTTGGTATAAGTAATCTTAGGGAAAAAAACCTTTTTTTTTTTTTTTTTTTTTGCGACAGGGTCTCACTATGTAATACAGACCAGCCTTGAACTCACGGTGATCCTCCTGCCTCATCCTCCCAAGTGCTGGGATTACAGGCGTGCGCCACCACACCGAGCTAGAAAAGAAATCTGTTACTGTTTTCTTGCTGTATCTCCGACTACTCGCAGTACATTCGCTGAATTACTGCAACAGGGTCACTCTGAACTTTTCACTCTGCTTTTGACAGTGTACTTTAATTAACTAGGTCTTTAATAACAGTACAGAACAGGCCACTATTTTCGGGACATCTTTACCCTCGGGGCTGTGTCCAGTGTCAGTTCTTACAGAACAGCAACCATCTGTGTCTTTACCAGAGGCAAATGCTTTTGCACTTGGCAGGCTGCGCTGCCCAAGCGACTTTGTGAGACACCTGATAGCTTTGGCAAGGTGGCTCCATCATTCAAAATTCTCTTCTAGACCATTAGCCTTGTTATTTTCAAGGTGAGAAGATTAACAGATGCAGCTGAAAATGTTGATCGTGACCATCTGGGCCGATCACTGACACAGAGAAACTATCTGTGAGGCTGTGACTGCTTCAGTTTCTCACTGGCTCCAATCATCCACGCCTGCGTCAGATGGTTAAAACACAGCGGCCTTGCAGCTGAGCAACGCTCAAGGCTGGGGCGCCACCAGCCCCCCCGGAAGCGCCCTCCCGAGCAAACAGAGCTGTGGCGGACTTCTTCCTGTTGTCAGTTCTTTGTGGAGTGAAATGCAAAGTTTTTAATCAGAGTATTATGAAATATTAAAGAGAACATTCACGTTACATCGGATCTTTTGTGTCTTAAAACACTGCTCAGTGTTTTCACCGTCTGCACAGAACGTGGGGATGAAGGGAACCCTGTCTGGGAACTTGCGCCCACTGGGGTGACAAAGCACGCAGAAAACGTTTCTAAAAAGGTTCGCGATTCCCAAATAGAACCCTGTGGAGTTTCTTTCCGACTCCTCTTTCCGGAGATGGATTTTATTCCTGAGATGGATTTGTTCAGTTTTAACTTCTACATCTTTAAGAGCTATTTCCTCCTTTTGTGCTCAGCGTCCTGCTCGGGCGTGTTTCCTTCAAGCGATGTTTAAGGGGGTTTTAAACTGCGGATGAATTTTCCCTGATCTTGGCTTTCTCACGTTAAAGAAATCATTCATGGGATTACATAGCTACACACTTCCATGCAAACAAAGCAAAGAGAATGAGCTCTAATGGTTTATGCCTTTGAGAACAGAGTCAAATGCAGCAAGATATGTATTACAGAATGAAGTATAAAAGCGCGGTAAATACTTCTAGCCTAATCCACCTCTTTCCCTTACAGAAAAGGACCGTCCGGCTTCTAGGTCAGCAGAGCCCTGCCTGCTTCTAGCAGAGATCTGCCCAGCGCTGCGGACAGAAGGGAAGGGCGCACTAGCCCACAGGTGCCTCTCTCAGCACCCGGAGCAGACTTGCTGCAGGGGCACGCTCTGTGACGCGAATAAAGAGTCACTGACAAGGGTTGTCTGTGTTTAAAACCTGGGGTGCTGTTTGATGAGGTCAGTTGCTGTAACTCGACACACCAAGAACAGCTGTTACTGAGGGCTTCTAACGTCCACCACTCTTCCTCCAAACGCTTTCTGTGAATTTCCTGATTTTCAAAGGCACATGAGACAGATTCTGTTCTTCCTCCACATCTCCAGAGGGAGACAAGTTCGCAAGCGGTACCCTTGAATGTGACTTGGAAGCAAGAGCACAGACCACTAATGTATGCGTCCCAGCTTTTCAAGTATCCCACATGGCCAGGTGTGGCGGCACACACCTGGAATCCCAGCACTCAGGAGGCTGAGGCAAGAGGATCACCATGACTTCGAGGCCAGCCTGGGCTACATAAGCGAGTTCAAGGCCATCCTGTACTATATAGTGAGACCTTGTCTCAAAAAAAAAAAAAAAAATACAACAAGTATCCCATTTTGACATGGTGCTTTCACCATTGAAAATTACCTTAATTTTCAGGAAGTTCTCAAAGCTGAGACTCAGCTTCCAGATACTCAGACCCTCGGGATTATCCACCATCACACAAGTAGGCAAGTAGGAAGGGCAAAGCAGCCTGAACCCAGTTACGTGCAGGGCCTGTCTGCCGCTGCTCCTGCAACAGCCCATTCAGAGCACCCTCCTCAGAGCCACATCGCCCTTCCCTGTGTCTAAGGAACGCGGCCCCGTGACCCGGAGACGGGCAGCCAGGAGCGAAGTCCTCGCGGCCAAGGGCTGTCCTTACTCAGCTTCACTTCCTGCCGTGTTGTTAGGGAGCTCCGCGTCACTCTCGAGAGCGGGAGGCAGAGGTCTGGTCTGGAGCTCAGCCGCGCAAGCAGCCCCGAGCATGGGGAGAGAGCCGGTCGGCAGCCCGCTCACTTGGGGTCCCTGGCCACGGCCCTGCAGCTTCTCCCCTGCTGAGGCTGCTCCCCTGTTCCTCCTGACAGATCTATCTCCCTTTGGGGTGTGGGTGTGTGTGGGTGTATGTGTGTGTGTGCGTGCTCACGCACACAGAGTTTGTTGTCTGTTATGGTGGTGGGGAAAGGTGCTAATCTTCCGGGACTTCTAGGCTCCGCTTGTTGACTGCAAGTTATAGAAGTGATCTTAAAAATCCCATTGGAAAGGAACAACTGGTACCATCTCGCATGTGACAGTACCTTAAAACTGGAAGTCTCCACGGAACTGCCTTCTCTGAGGACAGCTGTGAGCAGGAAACTGTGGAAACTGGCCTGCTTAATACTGATCTGACACGTTCTCTAGCGGAGGGCTTTAAGTGTGCACTTACGCTGCACCCCTCCCTTAGCTCATTTACTTGATCACGTTCCTTGTGAGAAAAGATCCCAGTGTACCTATACTACTTGCTTCACAGAAGGCTGCCGTGCCCAGAATCTTCCTGCTTGCTGGTCTTAGGTGGTGTGCCCCATTTTCACTTAACACTAACCTTCAATCCTATTAGAAATAACACGTCTGAACTTGTGACTTTTATCAAAATGCTATTACAAGTACTTGATATTTCTTTGATCATTTGGGAACAAATACTCACAAAATCAGCAGGGAGGTGAAGCTTGTAAAGCTGCAGGATGGACTGAAGTAGACTGGACACCTGACTGGAGACCAGCACGTCCTGGCCCAGCTTGACGCCGTCGGACACCTTCCTCTGGCTTGTGGCCACCTGGACGCTCCACTTGTCCGTGTCTGCGATAATGCAGACAGCTTCTGCTATTGGCTCATCAAGCACTGGGTGCTGAAAGAACACAGGAGGTCAGCTTTCCACACACTTCCGGGTGAGCTCAACATGTTCAGAGTGTGTTCGGCATTAAAGGTTCCAAAGCTTATGGTGGCAGCTAGAGAAACGCAGGGCTTTACAGGGACTCAAGCGGGAACGCTGCTGAACACCACTTAAAGGAAACTGCACGCAAGCACTATTTTCTTCTTACAACCAGGAAGTACACGGTAGGTGTGTCGGTAAGCCTCTCGGACAGGCGGAGGACATACGCCCTCCCTGTACTGCAGGACACCCAAATTCCCTTCCTGAACGGCTGCGTTCTCCTTCTAATGGGAAAACTAAGAATAAGGTACAGGATTCCATTCCCTTTTCTCCAACAGCGACTTTACCAGCATGACTTCATATTCTCTTAAACTTACAGCTTTAATCAGTAAGCAAAATTTATTAACTATGTTGCCACATACAGCAAACGTCCCTAAACACCGAAAACATCAGACAGGGCTGAATTTTTTCACAGGAAGCCAGAGTCAAATGACCAAAAATAAACATATTAAAATGTAAAGCTCCATTAAAGTGTAAGTAATAAACTGTGCCATTGGGCGAATGGAGTGAGTATGGAGCCCTTTCTATGTAACTGCTTCCCCTGGACCTGCTGGCCCAGCCGCCAGCGCCCCGGGAGCACACAAGTCACACTTCCAACAGGACGGCTCTTCCAGCCCAAACTCTGAGAGAAAGCGGGCGGACGTGCCAGAACCTGCAGCGGACCGGCCGCGGACAGGCCCGCCACACTGTGCACTGCTCACAGCTCTAAGCCTCACCACCCAAAGGAAAACCAGCGCTGGCCGCCTCCTGTCACTCACTTCGCCCAGCGCCCGGTGCTGGCCAGGGGCTGCCTCGGGTGCTTAGCATAGCTTCCTCGTCAGGGCACCCTGCCTTCTGGACACGTGCTTTCTAAAAGCCTGCTGGGCCTGTAAGCAGGGTCCACCTTCACCCTCCGAGGGGGTCCCTGAGCCCAGCCACCCCACCAGGTGCTCCCGCCGGGCTCCACAGTGGGCAGGCACGGCGGGCTGAGTGGCCAGCGGGTGGTCCGAGCCGCCCGGCAGTCCCGCTCCTGGGGTAGTCCAGAGCTGTCCGTTCGCTGTCTATCTCAAGTCCTTCGCTCTGCTCTCATCAAGTCTACGAATTCTCAATGTCCTTGGCTAACGTCAGGAAGAGCTGGTTTCTGCTCACTACAACAAATGGGCCAACAGCTTACGGCGTCTAACAGTATCTCACACAAGCAGCTGGAAAGCGACAAACACAAATCAAAGATGTCCTGGGACCAACACTTTTACCACCTGTGCTCTTTTCAAGGGGGAAACTTTCAGGGTTCATAGCTTTCCCACTGAAAGGAACAGCAATCAGGCAAAATCTATCTGATGCGCCAACATCTGCTTAGCATATATTCAAATATTCTGAAACATGAAAATGAAAGCATTTCAAAAAACATTTTTTATTTAATGAGGCTCCATTTCCCAAGATGGTTATTGCTCTGCAGATTTGTTAGCAGAACGGCACAAGGTTTTCTCGAATAGGACCGCTTATCCTCACCTTCACATACACGCCCAGGACACAGGACCTCGGCCAGATCTCCAGCACCATGCACATGCACGTGCACACACACGCACACGGGGCCTCTGTGACTTTCTTTTCCAAGTTCCCACAACTTTTTGCTTCACCAGAGTGTCACAGATTCACAGCAGGATGACAGTGACTATCAACTGCTATCAATGAGCACGGTCCTTGTGAAGAAAGAGGACTGAAAGCTGGAGAAACTCAAGCCCCTTGACTGCTTTGCTTTTGTGGGAGAGTCACATTGCGCTCGCTGGTGATACCACAGCACATTAATATTTCGGACCCTCGCTTCAGCGGCACCCCACAGGCACACACACAGGAAGCTCACGGCGCGCCAGGCACCGCTGCAGTGCAGCACACCCGCCTCTCTCTTTCCTGTCCCCTCTTAATGACAGCAGATGATCTGGGCCCAGGTCCCACCTGAACTCAGACTTCTTTCTACGTTACTCTGCCGCTAAAGTGGCGGGGAGAATCCAAGCCAGTGGCCCCGCCCACAGACTACAGGATGTGGTGCCCCAGCAGGGAAGGGCTCCACTGTAAGCAGAAGGCGACAGGAAGAAGGGCAACGGCTGGCCAGGGGGGCGATGCAGGAGGTGCTTCCAGCACGGCTCACACCACAACGCTGTAGTTCTAGATATGGTAACAAGAAGGGCAGAGAAGTCAGTTCAATTATTTAAAAGGTAACGAGGTGAGAAAACGGGAAAGAAGAACCCTAACCTGGAAGCAGGCACGAGCCTTCTGTATGTCACTGAGCAAAGGGCAGAATCTGAGAGCGTCTTGAGGGGCCTGAGGACCACAGGCCGTGGCTGCGACACTGACCGCGCTCTGGGAGGCCGGCCACTGCAAGCTTCCTGTCCTTGGCACAGGCACGGGGCGGCCCCCGCAAACGCGTGCTGAACGAGCAGAAGATGAGTTAGGACAAGCGGACGACGGAACTGGGAGCATCCGAGCCCCAACAGCGCCGGACGCCTAGCTCTTATGTCGGCACGCTCCAGGGACAGAGAAGAGCCAGCCTAACATTCTCAGAAGAGCGCCTTCAGGAACACGCCAAGAAGGGCTGCGGGGGAGCTCGGCGGTACAGCGCCTGCCTGGCAACCGCGAGGTCCTGAGTTCAATTCCTGGTACAGGGGAAACAAAAAAGGAACACGCCAAGAATCACGCATTCTCTGACAAGGAAACACCTGACAGGACTCAGCATTTCTACAGAGCAGACCTGCGGCCTCATGTAACGACCCCATTTAGTACCTACTCACCCTCTGAACAACAAACCATTTAAAGAACAAAGAAGGACATCTGAATAGTCGAAAAAATGAAGCGACAGCTGGGGAGAGAGAAAAGTCCCCCAGCAGGCACCTTAGTCATCCCTCCAGGGCCCAGGGCCGCCCATGCTGCCCAGGCCTGAGCCTCTGAGGGTCAGAGCAGAGGAGGAAGTTCCAGGCATCCTGGAGACCGTTCTGAGTCTTTCCAAGGGAAATCCAAGCCCATGAGAGAGGCCAGTTTAAAGATACTATGATTTGCTGTATAAGCCTAAGCTCGTAAGATTCAAAGATGTCTGCGATCCGGAACACCATGTTTGAACTGTCACTGAAACAGCCACCTGCACACGTCCACGCCCCCGTAATGAACGCACAATCACTTACCAAGGGTTCTGTGTTTACGGCATATAGAGAACCACAACACACAGAAGGAAACTGAACCATGCGTATGCTTCTTCTTAATACTTTTGCATAGGAGACACCCTACTATGGTAGAAGCCGTTACACCGCGAGACCTGTCACACAGATGTTTTCTGGACAGTGGACTGAACTCAGGACCTCACGCATGCCAGGAAATGGCTTAGCCACACTCTCAGCCCTTTTTATTTACTTTTCATTCTGAGACTGAGCGTTTACGTAACTGAAAGCACGTAAATGAAAACACTTACTGCCCTATACATTTGGTTTTCTTTGGGATACTCCAAATTAAAGGAAAACACAAGATTCTCTGGCCTTACTCAACGTCAGATTGTTAGTCCTCTTACAGAATTCTGACGCCTTTCACATGTCCTTAAACTGTACTGGAATACGAGGGTGCTGCTGACAGAACCTTTCTGCGCCGGTCCCCGTCTGTCACAGCCCGTGACCTCTCAGCAGCGGCCTTCTGCAGCTTCCAGAGGGCGTCAAAGAGTCACGCAGACAGTGCGGTGCTAGGCGCAGTAAGGGCCCTTTCCCAGCACGCGCTCACACCACGGCCTCTGATGCCCTCGTCGTCGGCTGCTGACAGAACTGTGCCCACGGCCTGGCACCGGAGGCGTAAGCCATCCGAGACCGTCTTGGGTTCCAGATGCCAGCGGGCCACAGGAAGAGACCACGGTGTGTGCAGAGATTGCTCAGTGTTTAGAAATACACACAAACCAACAAGAGAAGCCCTCAGGCTCGCATCCAGAGAAAACAAAGGCAGTCACCCCCTTTGAGCAGCGGGGAAGGAACCCGGCACGGGTACGTGAAGGGTCTGCCACTGAGCCGCCCTCGGCTCTTCTGACTTTTACTTCTAGACCGGCCCGCGAAGCCCGGCCCTGTCCGTCTGAGATCACAGGAGTGCGCCCCACATCCAGCTGCATCACCCTTCTTCACACTCAGGTACAGAGTCACCTGGCAAACCACTTCTACTACACACCGGACGACGAGCAGAGGGGAAGCAGGCACAGAAGGCCCGGGAGCCCGGCCGCCAGAGGTCTCCGCCCCCTCCCCGCCTCCCCCGCTGCACCCGCCCGCACTGTGCCCTCCGCTCCCTCGCCGCAGCCGCCGTCGTTCCCTTCCTGTCGGAATCCAAACTCCCAGAGGACAGCGTCGTGCCGTGAGCGGCTGCCGCTCGGAGTCCCATGCGCTCTATCTAGTCGCCATGTGTGCATCTGTTTGCATTTACCCTGTGTGGGAGTCTGTGCTTTTTTAATCAAAAAATTTCTAGCCTTCTTTCCTTAAGTATTGTTTTCTCTGTTCTCTCCACCTGAAGGTGTATAAAATTGCTTCATTTCAGCCTCCACTTTTCTTACTTGATTTTTCTTATTTTTTTCCCCTCAGAGCTGCATGCAGAAAGGTGATTTTGTACCTCACTTCCATTTCACAAATTCTGATTTTCTCTAGTATTTAACTGCTAGGCCCTTTACTCCCCGACGTCTTGATTGCAATGACTCAGAATGTTCAGGTAAGTCCAAACAATCACGTACCCCGCTGTCCCACTCGCTCCTACGTCCCCACCCTTCCTCTGTTCACAATACACCCTGGGAACAGCCGCGCGTGCGCGCCTGCAGGAGTGCTGGCCCTCTGCGCGTGTCGCCTGCGCCTCCTCACAGGGTCTCGGGTCCCAGGGAGCAGTCTGCGGCTCCCGAACGCGGCCAATCCCACTGCAGCTCTTCTGTCTCTCAT